TTGATTGATAGGCCACACTGCATTTTCCCTCAAAGAGGATAGTTATTTTACTTTAAGTGTTTTCTTCTTAGGTCCTTCATTGATTAAGGGACACTTACTTGAAATATTTTATTTATTTTTTGTAAGTGTGTCTTGCTTGCTATGTATGTATGTACTGTGTTTCCAAAGGCGGTGAACCTCACTGGTTTACTTTAGGATTAGAGGTTTTATGTTACATTTTAACAAAAGCAGATGTGTTTTACTTCGCCACTGAGTCCCTCTTCTTGTCAGACTCATAAAATTGCAGCTGGATATCTGCATTTATCTGAACAGGAAAGACCAGAGGTCTACCACGGTTGGAGCTACACAGGCACAGTTGCAGAGGATCATGTGCAGTCTGAATAGCCCCATGGACTTTCAATGAGCTTTAAATGCCAAAACCTAATATAAGGACACTTTATTGTGTCCTGTGTGTTCTGACCATTAAACTATTTGGAGTCACCTGACTTTAAAGGTGCTACATAAGTATAGGCCATTACAAAAATCATATTCACACTAACACTTAGGACCTGATCTTAAAAAAGCTTACATGCATTTAAACTTGTTAGTACTGGCAACACACTACTACAAAGCAGGTGCAAATGGAGTTAAGTGTATAAAAAGGGCAGCTGCAAACTTTTTTTTGCCTATGAAGCTTAATAAAAATGTAGACCTTACTTTAATAACAAAACTGAGCAAATTTATCAGTAAGGGATTTGCATATGCAAATCCTTGCCACCTGCAAGGTGATTTATTTAAGTCATAACTGACTGGAAGCATAGTTTTTATGTCACTATTTCAAATGTTTGAAAGAATATGGAGTAATAATGCCTTAGTTGGAAAAAAAAAAAAGAATTTGACATGTACCGGCACCGATCAATGTAGCAGAAAGCCTTTCTTTAAGCATCTAAACCAAAACAAGAAAAATGAGACAGAAATATTTAAAGATCTATGTACCTTTTCACCTGGCTCCTTATCCGAAAAAAGAGCATGCAGTGAAATATTTGGTTTGGCTATAACTTAGGGATTCCTTTTAGTAGAAATTAAAGCATGTTTAGTATCACCTCTTGTGAGCTGGAAGAAATAAAATATTGATAGTTGGACAAAGGGTTTTGTTACACTTAGCAGGGGATGATCAGCCACATAGTAAATTAAGTAGCGGGAGCAGGAGGAGCCATACTGCTGAGAGCGAACCATCAGTGTGGAGCATAAAGAGCAGATTCTAAGCTACGTGTGTGCAAAGACACCTCTCTGCACAAGCACAGCTGAAAGATTAGAGTTTGTCTGAGATCAGCGCTCAGTACCGGACCATTCCGGGTTAATTTCTAGCCTGCTGCTGCTGTAATGATCCATTTCTGGTCATGCAGAATGTGAACCGATTCATGTCGGGTGGGCAGTTTGACCAAACAGCAGCATGCCTGTTACTGCTTCGATTTTCTAACAGATTACAGCACAATGATGCATTTAAATGTCCGACCGACACCCAGCTAATTTTTAGTTAGTCTTGTCTCGTTGACAAAAACTAAAACCTATGACTAGTCATGTTTCAAAGATCAATGTTTAGCTCTTCAGCCTTTGTTATTGTCATAAAAAACGGAATGTCAACTGAATAATTTCGTCATTGTTGATGAAACTACTCCCCTGGGATTGAAAAACTTCTTTGTCGTCACTCTAATCCTTAGGTACTTCATTTAATGTTATTACCTAAAGACTAATGCCTACACCTTATGTTCATCATTTCAATGAATAATAAACAGTTATAAGCTTATTTGGAAAACAGACATTAGAGAAGAGAGATTATTCTGAATTTATATCAAAAGTCAAGAGATGATTTCCCCCATTTTCTGTGATTTTGCGGGGGGGTGGATTGTTTCTTGCATTTTATTGAACATTGCATTGTTTCTTGTGGAAATAAATCTACTTCATGACATCAAAACCAGCTTTTTACACAGGCTGCGTATTTTAGACATATTCAGGCCGTATAGAACTGGGTTAAAGAGTGGCTGACAAGTAAGAAAATACAATGATAAAAATATTCTCAGCACACCAGGAACATGAGTCATGTTAAATCGGCTCTGTATGATTTCAAAGGAAACACCAAAAGAGAAATTGATAACTGAAGCGATGTGAGGAGTGCAGGTACTGACAGCTTTCTGTCGGGTCTGTTTGGATCCAGAAAAACACACCTTAAGGATCCTCATGTAGGTGTAGAGAATCACAGACAGAGGAACACAAACTGTGAGAAAAGTCATGAGAAGTTCATAGATGTTATTGACCCTGGGCTCTTTGCAAGCCAGTTTTATAATAGAATGATTATCACAATAAATCTTATTAATGATGTTTCCGCAAAGCTGCAGAGAGGAGCTTAAGAACATTGTGCCCCCAACAGATAAAAATGGGGTAAACCAAGTGATTGACACCAGGAAGACAATTTTCTGTGAAGTCATCAGTGAATTATACTGCAGAGGATGGCATATGGCTACATATCTGTCATAAGACATAACAGCTAAGTTGATAAACTCTACAGTTCCATAGGTGTAAATACTGAGAATCTGCAAAAAACAAGGAAGAGTAAAAATATTGTGAACATCAGAGAGGATCTGAAGCAGCATGAAGGGAAACAAACTTGTGCTGCCGTACAGTTCATTGACAAACAGGCTGCACAGAAATATGTACATAGGCTCATGTAAGCTCCTGTTTACACAGATAACAACAATTAACAGAACATTAGAACCAACAATTAGAATATACAAAAACAGGACAATGAAGAAAGGCAAGTACTTCAGAGAACCAGTGTCAATGTAGGCACTTAGAGTGAAATATAAAACCTGTGTGGAATTTTGCTTCATCCTTGTTTCTTTAGTTTTAAATTCAATCATGAAGATGCATCAGTGGATGAAATGTCTACCATAAAAACATCCTCCATCAGCTTTAGATAAATAAATTTAAAGCAAAACTTATCAGAGAAAAGGATGAAGAAGTGAGCTTTACACTTTCAGGCAGCAACAAAGCAGACCTGTGACCTGTGCCACGACTAACAACTGAGCTCAGATCTGCTTTTCATAAAGAGTCTAAAGAGACGCCCACAACATCAAACCTCATCACAAAAAATTCCAGGATGAAGTATTGGGAATAGATAAATCTGAGTTTGAACCAATCGTCTTGCTTGTTCCGTAAACCTTGAGAGAAAAAATACTCTTTACCTCTACTTTTACTTTTTCTGTCACCGAGGCTCATGCTATTCTCGAGGATGACAAGAATTTTGGCTCCTCCTATGAGCAATATTCTCAAGCTAAATCTTCCCAACATTCACCAATTCACCTGCTGCGATTACCTTATTTCCCATTCCACCTTTGAATCTTACCTCTTCATATACTTTTTCATTTGTTTACCTTCCTCCAATTGTCATAATGTAATTTCTATTGTTCTTGTCCAGGGCTTCTAATTTATACCATAGTTTTCGGAAGGATTTTCAAAACCCCCCTGTGATCAACCGACCCCTGCCAGAGTTCCTCCTTCTATTATGGTTGCACTCAAATTCCAAGGAAGCCTCACCAAGCTCCAACTCTTTGCTAAATATTGACCAAAAGGTCCGGTCGGCTCAAGAAACCTTCCTCTCCATGAGGAGAATCGTAAGATCTCTCTTCATGGTTGTGGTTCTTTCCCTTTTTCCAAAGTGGCAAAACATGTGGCTTGTGGCAATTTCACCAATAGCAAAGGATTTATCCACATTTCCTGGTGTCCTCTCTCCACCCACATTAGTCATAAATAGCACTTCTGAAAACACAAATCATTTATTTACTACTGGATTAAACATCCACTATTGATCACAATAGCTAACGACTTGCACATTAAGCACATTGCACATAATTATGCAGGGAGTCATGTTAACAAAACCCTGATGTTCTGGTTTAGAATTAGCATGCGCCTGTCACAGAAATGGTAATAGCACTATTATTTATTATCCAATTTTAATAATATTTTTCTTAAATTAAAGCTGAGTGACTTGCTGATGTTATAGTACAAAGAAATGTGCATTCTCTCTATGTCAAGGCTCAGAACTAAAGGATCCTGTATTCAAGGCGGACAAACAGATTTTTTTGAATATTTATGGAAAACAGCATAGGAGTGGAGAACGTCGGCAACTAAGGAAGGAACCTCTGCAGGCAGAGACAGCAGGTTAGTGACCATATCTTTCTGAAAGTGGATGATGACGAATGAGTAAGTCACTAACCGGGTCTTATAGTTCTGTATGAGTCCAGAAGTGGAGGATGATTCCGGCCGGCTGGCTGCCAATGTGTAGCGGCTATGAGAATCTCAGGTGCTAATGTATCAGAGGTTCGAAGACAGGCAGAAGACCAGAACCAAGCAGACGGATGTAGGCAGGATGATCCAGAGGGTGAAACCAAAGCGGATGTTGGTAAAGTGGTGGGTTGTCAGAGCCAGTGGGTCAGAGATCCGGTGAGGCACCGAAGGAGAATCCAAGACGGAGTCAGGTCACAGTTCTGGGTAAAGTACACAGTTGAGCTGAAAGGCTGAATAAGGGCAGGCAGACCCAATTGTCAGGAAGTCGTCTGGTGTCTATGGGAGGGCTATTGTCCTACACAAGCAGGCAGATATTAGGCAGGAGTCAGAAGACAGGTCAGGCAAACATATCAGATTGGAACAAGCAGGCTCAGTGGCTGAGAGGCAGAACAGGTCAGGATCAGGTTGTCAGAACACAGATACTCTAGAATAAGTCTTACCAATGGCTCGAAATAATCTGACACTGATGACTGTTCTGAAGGCTGGTTATATAGCGACTAATGCAGGTGGGTCAGATAAGCAGGTAATGAGAACTGAGTGGAGCTAAGCGGGTGTGTGTAAACCGAGTAATCAGGCCAGGCATGAGTGCTCAGATCATGACACCCTAAACATAAATCCATAATCAGAGTGGGAACTGTACAAATATTCTTAATATGTTTACATATTTTGATTTTTTTTTTTTAGAGCTTAGGCATCATAACTGCAATTATTGTGTCACAGGTTTTTCTTTTCTGGCCTTGATGTTAATATTCTTACATTGTTATAGGATAATAAAATATAATTTGTTAGTACTAGACTGGTCAGTTGAAGCATAGGGACCTTTCCTTCTGAAGATAACTCAGAAAAAACAGCTATCAAAGTGGGAAAAGACCATGTGAGCATACTGGGGGCTACTTTGTGTTATTTTGTAAAAAATCTATGCACTCTGCACATCTCACTCTGTCATTTGCCTGACTCAACCTTCCAGTTTGGAAAATAAAACCCGTCTTTCCTTTTTCGGACGTTGTCTGTCACGGTAGTGAAGAGACAGAGAGACAGTTGAAGTGGATAGGACAAGCAGAGAAGGAGAGGATTAAAATAGCAAAGCACTGGCTTGCTGGAACTTGATATTTGTTTTGAACAGAGCAATCAACAACAATATAAAGGCAACACTTGGTTTTGCTCAGATGAACTTAAAGATTTAAAACGTTTTCCACATACACAATATACCACTTATCATGATGAAGATTCTCAGTCATCCAGATCATAGTCTTTTCGTAAAAGTTAAAAAAAATAATTTTAATTGAGAAAGCTTCCTGGAGAGGTGGCGAAACATCTTCAAATCTTGGAAACCAAGTCCAGTGGATTTTTTTTTTTTTTTACTTTTGCAGAAAAAATATACCACTTATCCTTTGCTGAGATGATCCATTCTGCCTGAAAGCTGTGCCATATCAACAGACATGGGCAATGTGGAGTCAACAAGTCATCTCCATGTCATGTATTGGTTCTACCCAGCCACTGAAGCAGACGAGTCCAATCTTCACCGTGAATTAACCTGTGCAGATTGGACTCACCTGGTCAATTGGCAGGGTAGAACCAATACATGACATGGAGATGACTTGTTGACTCCACATTGCCCATGTCTGCATATCAAGATTCTGATTAAACACCATGATTAGTGCACAGATGTGCCTTAGACCACCCATAATAAAAGGCCACTCTGGGTGCAGTTTTATCATACAGCACAATGCCACAGATGTCACTAGATTTAAGGGAGCGTGCTATTGGCATGCTGGCAGCAGGAATGTCAATTTCTCTACCATAAGTCTTCTCCAAAGGTGTTTCAGAGAATTTCGCAGTATGCCCAACCGGCCTTACAATCGCAGACCAATTGTAACCACACCAGTCTACAGTAGGACTTCCACATCCAGCAGTTTCACCTCCAAGAACGTCTGAGCCCGGCCACTCAGACAGCTGGCGAAACAGACTTAGACTTAGACAACATTCATTGTCATTTTGTATACATAAAGTTTATACAAAACGACATTTCATTTTGTACAGCTCTCATGACATTTGCATTTTCTTAAAGTGCAGCAGTGATCGCATGTAAACATTGTGGGAGAAAAAACATAGTGCAAAAAAAAAAATATTGATTTGGCCCGTTTGATGCAGAGTCTGTGACATGATTTAGAGTTTTTTCAACAGTTCAACTGTCTGATGGCGGTGGGGAAGAAGCTGTTTAGAAATCTGCTGGACCTGCACTGAATGCTACGAAGCATCTTCCCAGAGGAAAGCAGGGAGAACAGTCAATGTTGGGGGTGTGAGTGGTCATTGATAATGTTACATGCTCGGGACACACAGCGCTGGGATGAAATGTCTTTTATTGAGGGAAGAGGAGCCCAGATGATCTTCTCAGCAGTTCTCACTACTCTTCTCACCTTTCAATCTGTGGCACTGCAGCCCCTGACAGCTGGTCAGAACGCTCTCTATGGTGCTTTTGTAGAAGGTGGTGAGGATGGGTGGGGGCAGGTGGGCTCTCTTCATCCTCCAAAGGAAGTACATGCGCTTTTGTGCCCTTTTGACGAGTGAGGTGGTGTTTACAGTCCAGGTGAGAGTGTCTGTAATGTAAACCCTCAGGAATTTGGTGCTGTTGACCATCTCTACTGCGGAGCTGTTGATGAACAGTGGAGCGTGGTTAGATCGATTTGTCCTGAAGTCAACAATGATCTCCTTAGGTATGTTTGTGAGAAAGTCTAACAGCCGATTGCAGAGGGTTGTATTGAAGTCCAGCTGTTCCAGTTTCCCCATCAGATGCTGTGGGATGATGGTGTTTAAAGTTGAACTGAAGTCCAGGAACAGCATCTACACGTGGGTGTTTTTCTCCTCCAATTGTGCAAGGCTCAGGTGAAGAACCTGAGATGGCGTCTTTAATGGAGTGGTTTTGTTGGTTGGCAAACTGGAACGGGTTGAAGGTTGGAGGGAGACTGGAGAGGCTGTGCTCTTTAAACAGCCTTTTCAAAGCACCTCATCATGATGGGGGTCAGTGTGAAAGGCCGGTAGTCATTAGGTGAGATGACCTGAGGCTTTTTTGAGACCAGGATGATGGTGGCAGACTTGAAGCATTATGGATTGGTGCAGCTGCCCTGCACACTCCTCGTACACCAGCCCAGGTGTGTTATCAGGGCCTGGGACCTTTCTTGGGTTGATCTCCTCAGAGTTTTCCTGCTGTTTAGTGCCTCAAACCTTCCAAAGAAGTTGTTTATTTCATTTAGGAAGTCAGTGTTTGCTGCATCTACCGGAGGGGAGGGTGTGTTGCAGTCTGTGATCATCTGTATGCCTTGCCAAATGGTCCTCATGTTGCTGGAGTCGTGGAAAAGATCCTGCATTTTATGGATGTGGTTCTGCTTCACTGAACTGATGGCACGGTCTAACGTGGCGCACTGTCCTCAGTGCCTCTTTATCATCAGACTTGAAAGCTGAGTTCTGTGCGATTTCTAAACCTCCCCATTTATCCAGGGTCATTGGATTGCTCTGATAGTAAAGTTCTTTGTGATGCTGTAGTCCTCAATGCATTGATTCATTAAGGAAGTCAGACTTTACTGCAGAATTTCTGCACAAACTGTCAGAATTTGTATTAGGTAAGCTCATCTGTATGCTCATCACCCTCATCAGGGTATGTGCTCCACAAACTACTGAAAGTATAAAAGTATAAAGTAACCTTTAAAAAAAAACCGCCAGATGCCACTATATGAATTGAAAGCGCAATTTTTGGACTATTTTGAAAAATTCTTTGAGAAAGGGCCATGGATGAGAGAGGTCTTGTTTGTCTCCGTCTTCATCTCCCGATATGCTCTTGCCTGTCTCCGACCTTTCAGACATTTCAACATCTTTTTCTGAATCCTACATTGTAGCATGGCATACACAATTCAAGTTTGCAGTTTGAAGAACACCTGCTTGATTCTGAGGATTTCCTTTAGCTAACCAATGAGTGTTTGCGTTATATGACTCATCCAATGACACTAGTTTTCACTAGATGTGGATGGAGCCAATGATCTGCACTGGATGGGCACATGGCATGAAATAAATATTTATAAACATTAAACCTAAACCAAGAGTAAAGAGTAATGTTTGTTTTATAAATGTAAGGAATAGAAAGTACAGATACTTGTGTGAAAATGTAATGTGCTTTAGAATGGCTTTGTCTCCATTCAAAACCAGGGTTAAAGCCTTGCAGGGCAGCATAAAGCCCACTGCTAATTAAGACATAGAAAAAAAAAAAAAAAACGGTCAGTTCAGGTGTTTTATAAAATATGTGAATGAGGTAATTGTCTATATACCAAACTGAACGATTATTCTCTACTTCAATAAAGAAATTTCTGATTTTTTTTAAATATCTTTTCATTTAAAAATTCAATGTATAACATTGATGCATTAAAATTTGCTTTTTGTTTCATTGTTAAGTTCTAAAGTAACATATCATAATTAAAAATGTCTCTGTACCTTTATTGGTTGATGATTTTCTGTATTCGGACCCCCCTGATCTTTAATTGGTTACCCCTGCCCTAGGTCATGTTTGGAGCCATCTCCCAAGATGGTGGAAAATGAAAAACTCAAGATCCAACATCCAGACACAAACATTCAAAAGGGCTAACCAACCAGACATTGTGATAACTGATTATCATTTATTAGTTTTGGGATTTGACTACAAATTTTAATTGAGTTCACTACAGGGTCTATAATTATTTAATTGAAATCAATAGCATTTTGATGAAAAACCATATAATCAAAAAAAAAAAAACCCTTTATTTTCCTCAATTGAATTAATAATTATATAATCACAGTAACACATATATCCATCTCTCTGGGCCATCTTCCTGATATATTCTGGAATTTGGACGTTTCCTCTTTAAGAGCAGCTCTTATGATACCTATGTAGCCCTCCTATCTCCTTTGTGCCTAGAGTAGCCTGTGGAGTAGATTCAACCATGACTGGCAAGTAGATCTCCTGATTTAACATCACCCTTTGGCCAACTTTTTACCCTAGCAGTGTATCTGATCATTGACAAGGCATACACATTGTTCTTGCCATTTAGCTGACTACTCAAAAATTAACTTACTCGTTGCAGGTATTTGGCAGTTGCTGCTTCCTTCAAGCCTCTGGCATGGTTACCATTTGTCTTTGGTAGTTCCAAGGTACTTATAGCTCTCTTAAACATTTGCCGGTCTCCCCTCCTAGAGTGCAATACCCTATGTGTGGATTATTATATGGGTTGAGCTTTAAACCTTGATATTACTTTTGGACATCAGGGACTAATTTCCATACTAATATTAACTTTTGACATTGATTAAGGAATATGTAGTTTGCTCAGCATCAATAGGCTCCACAATGTTGCAAACCCCCTCTCTCCAAGACACTTCGGCAGGGACATTTAATCTGGCCTCCTACTGTGCTTACGGACAAGGAAATTAACCAGGAAATTAACTCACAGACTATCATTTCTTTGCAGGCTTATATTGGGAAGATGCCATCATGGAGGGCCACAAGCCTAAGACTAAGGGGACCTGGTAGCTAACTTATTAACCAAATTGCTGCAAAAACAGGCACTTCTGCAACATTTTCTCTGAGCTTTCGCGAAACTTTGAAATGCCAAAGAGTGGTTAAGCAAAGCATCTGAGAAGGGAGCACAATACCCTGCTGCAGGCCTGATGTGCTAAGCTGCTGAATACTGGAGACAACTCAGCCTTTTCAAAACCAGAGTTAGGGAAACATTTTCAGCTAAACAATTTGGGTTATTGATCATTTAGTGTGTTTACTGTTGTGCATGAAATTTTAACGAGAAGCTAATGGTGACAGCATGGGGCCCCAGGCTGACATGTTTTGAGTTGCTTTTTATAAAGTTAAAATAAGCTTTATTTCATTAAGAGTTTAAACATTAATATGATTTTAAGCTTTGTGTTTCCTCATATACACATTACATTTGATTACCAAAATGTGTCCAAAGACTCATTTAAGAGGAGTTCCCTCTTGGCTGCTAGCTGTTAAGTCATTCCCAGTGGGTATCTATTTCTGATTCAGAAAAAAAAACATTCAATAAGTAATATTTAACCAAATAACATTTTATTTACATCTTGGATTTTCATTATGGATTGGTTTGAACATATCCAGATATCTATAAATTAGTTAAAAGCTAATTTGACAGCATCCTAAGTTCTTCAAGATAAAACGTTGATTCTCAAACATAAAATCAGTGCTGAACTATTTTTGTATCATTTACTGGTTATGGGTTTTCTATCATTTTTCATTCCTCCTTTTTGTGTACATGGGGCTTAGTTAAGTTTAAGTAGTTCAGAAATATTTCAGCTGAAATATGTTTGATTAGGGGTTGAATGATTTTTGTCAATAAACTCTAATAAACTCTTATATTTTTTATTTGTGGTAAATGAATTCCATATATGTGGACAGTTATTTGTTTGACTATGACTTGAGCTCGATTTGTTGTCTTTGCGCAGAGCCAGTTAAGGATGTGTTCATAGAACAATATATGTCAGCCCAAATATTATTTGATCATAGAACATATCTGCAATGCCTCCTGGAGTGAGAATTGATGATAATTTATGATTATTTTACAACGATATGGCATCAGTAAGCAGAGGGCATCATAGGATGCAGTGATTAAGCAATGCTTCTTATTCTGAAATTAAAGGTGGACCAGACCTTCCTGTAGAAACTGACACTTACCAATAAAGATGGAGGCTCACCCATTTAAAATTTTACTATTCTTATGAGATGAGAAGTTTCTATTAAGATCAGGAGAGGTGGAAGACTCCCTCCCCCGAAAGCTTAAAACGGTAAACACAAACTAAACAAAAATATCAACTCAAGGAATCCTAGAACAATCTCTGTGTTAAACAGCAATGACAATGGAAGTAAGTAACAAACATCAACATGCAGAGCTCTGTAATGGGTCAATTGGAGTGTGGGCACAAGTTGGAGATGCATGATGAAACTGTTTTGTTTGAAGGCAAAGCAGCAGAAATATAGTAGGTAGATCTAAGCTGCAGACCGGTGCTTCCATGATGAGGTTGTAGCCTCGCTATGAGTTGTGCCTTATTTTATCCTACTTTTTTGATCAGGGCTGTGAGGGGCACAGCACATATATAAACGACGTCTACTGGCAAGAGACTCCCATGATTCATTCAGGAACTTAACGTCCAGTCACCTCTTTAGTTTTAGACACAATGACCTGCAAACACCCATTAAAATAAAGAAATCAAGCAGCAGATAGGTAACCTATCATCCCTGCACTTTCTTCCACTCTTCCAAGCATCTGTGGCCTCTTGGCATTTTTAAATACCGCTACTGTGTATTGAAGATAATACTCACTACTGTGTTTAAATCTCTACCATGGGCTGAATCTGAGTCTTTCTGACTCTCCCAGTAAGATCTTAAAATCACAGAGGAAGATGGAAAAAGATTATTTTAATGTTAAAAAAAGAAAAGAGCTCCAGTAATGTTAGAAATATTCAACAAATTACAAAAAAATAATAGCACATCATTGTCTCATAGAAAACACTGATTTATTTAGTATACATTTTTCAGAGAATGAAAGGACAAACTGTTTGGTACTGTTTCTTTTATCTGTGTTTATCCAAATCTGGAACATAATTTTTTCTTTTCTTTTTTTTCACTGTAGGTAAAACATAGGTCAACAAAATACTATCCATTAATTTAATATTAAAACATGTGCAGAGAAATTCAGTACAAAAAAGAAAAGAAAATCATAAAAACACTAAAAAAAAACTAAAAAACTGTAGTTCATCAAATTATCCAGACAGAATATATATATATATATATACATATATATATACAACTTTCAAACCTGTAAAAACAACAGAAAAAAAGCCAAATATGAAATCAAGCCCAGTAGAGACTGGAGCTTTCAAGACATTTCTCAGGCATGGAAAGCTGAGCTGATCAGCTCTCCTGAAGGGCCTGCACTATCTCCACATAGCAGACGTTTACCTGCATCTCTTATGGTGGAGATTTTCAGCCCATACAGCACAGGGTTGAGGAGCGGCTGGCATGTCAGGAAGTACAGCGATAAGATGATGTCCAACAAAGGAGGAACACTGCTTAATTTAAATCTGCTCTGCAATATCTGAAAACAGCAGCTGAAACAAAAGTTCAAGATGGAAGCCAGGTGAGGCGTGCAGGTGCTGATGGCTTTCTGTCGGGTCTGTTTTGTTGCTGAAAAACAAACTTCCAGAATCTTTGTGTAGGTATAAAGGATTAAAATAAGAGGAGCCATGATGGACAAGACAGTTAAAATGAGTCCATAAATGTTATTGATGCTGGTGTTGGAGCAGCTTAGTTTAACGATAGAGTAGTTTCCACAGTAAACCTTATCAATGATATTCCCACAGAGCTGCAGCGGTGCACTAAGTGAGACCAGAACCACAGTGGACAGAAAGGGGAAAACCCAGGTAAGGGCAATAAGCAAAAAAACCTTTCTGCCCGTCATTATGGTGTTATACTGCAGAGGAAAACAAATGGCAACATACCTATCATAAGACATGATGGCTAGACTTAAAATTTCAACTGATGCATACGTGTAAACACAAAAGATCTGCAGGAAGCAGAGCGGAGCAGAAACGGTGTGAACATCAGAGAGGATCTGAACCAGCAGGAAGGGAAACAAGCCTGAGCTTCCGTACAGTTGGTTAACAAACAGGCTGCAGAGAAATATGTACATGGGCTCATGTAAGCTCCTGTTCACACAGATCACCACGATCAGCAGGACATTAGAACCAACAATCAGAACATACAGACACATAATGAGCATAAAGTACAAGTATTTCGACTGTCCAATGTCCAAATAAGCGCTCAGAGTGAAATATATAACCTGTGTGGAGTTAATCATACTGCTGCTGCTTCCACGACTGTAGGAGAGAGCAGATGATATACAGGATGAGCCTTTTATATCCTGTAAAGTCAGCTGAGACCAACAGCAGCATCAGAAGAACAACAGCATGATAAACAGGTTGGACAGACAGACATCAGCTGCCATTTTTTTCTGAGAAGAGGCCTGTCTCTTTCAACACCTCTGAACAACCTTTACTTCTCTTGGCTTTTTACAACAATCAGGTCCATGAACTTTACCTTGATAAGGACTGTTGAGTCTGAGATGGAACTCTTTGGTGGATCCAGTCTTTAAGCATTATTGCTGATGTCTTTCAGCCTAGAAGTTTGTTTTAAACATGAGTGGAATGCTGAAAATTTACAAAAAAACTCCATTAGAGTGGGGTTTATCCTATTGCATTCTTACTAAAGCATTCACCAAACAGCTTTTTCCTTTTTAACCGCTTTCTACAGAGTGGAAAGGAAATAAAGAGAAATAAAACGGGTCGACCCATGTTTGAAAAACCCGGGTTAACCTGTCAATTTCTGCTGGAAAGAGACTAAAGAGACTCTACTTAGATAAGGAACAAGGTGGAAGTTTACTTCAACATGGAAATGGGAATGAATAGCAGAATTTCTAAGGACATGAAGGATGTTTCTGAGCCTTCACTATCAGTTTTTAATGACATGTTGTTGAAGAGAGAAAAAAAAACTAATATTTTTCTTTAGAATGAGTCAGTGTTAATCAAAGGTGTTCAGAATGCTTCAAACAATGAAGCCTGGACTTGACTCAATGTTTCTATCTTCAAAATACAGTTGAGTATGTTCAGAAAACCTAAGTTGAATATTATATAATTATTAGTTCCTGCACCAGAGGACAAACTAGAAAAGAGCCACGCTTAAGTCACAGAATTGAACCAAACGCGTAAGCCTGCATTTATATGTTGCTAATGCTTAATAAGCACGTTGGCCTAATGGGTTGTGCTCTGTGAAGGTTGCAAGTATCCGGTTCGATCCCCTCTAGGTTCCTGAGCAAGACCCTCAAGTCCAGATTGCTCCCTGGGCGCATCACAATGGCAGCCGACTGCTCCCCGAGGGGATGGGTCACAGGCATAACTTTCTGAAGGAGTGTTGTGGACATGTCCCCACCAGTATTTTTTTCTTTTTTCCCCTTTCCGCTCTTCTTCTTTAGCCAAAGGTTAACGTTTAAGTCCATGTTTTTTTTTCCCTTTCTCGCGCTGCTTGCGTGTCCCTCCTCTCTGTGTAACATCATCGGATCTGTTGCTCTGAGACATCTGATTCGAGGTCGCATTTCACTGAGTAAAAAGTTGTTACATGGTTGGAGGAGAGACACAGCAGCACTCACTGAATATTAACCAGCAGCTACATAAAACATAAAGGTACATAAAACAAAATAGAGAAGCCACCGAAAAATCCATTCATTAGACATACTGAACTTTTTCAGCAAAAATGGCAACAGATTATCAGTTTATACAAGTTAGTATTATAATACAAGAAGCCAGAGAAAATATAGTTTAAATGTTGTGTTCTTCTTTACAAGTTAAAAAAAGCTTGGCTTCTCAGAGGAGCATGACTCCCAGTTACAGGTTAAAATTAACATGTTTTCTTAATGCACAGACAGAATCAGACTGAAGAGCTTCTACATATCTTAAAATTTTGATTCTGGCATCATTATATTAGTAAAGAGGTTTATAAATCTTTAAAAATGGACCACAGAGAGAAGTAGGGAGAGCTGCAGATTTAAAGGTGATATGCTGCATTTTAAATATAGAATAGCACATTTTTTTCTTGTAAACTTTCTGGTAAAGTTGGAGATATATTTTATTGCATGTTGCATATCCTAGTAAATCCATATTTTTCTGAATCGATGGATGGAATTGAAATTGTACTCTAGGAAGATATATAAATATATATATATATATATATATATATATATATCGATTTTGGCATCAGAATCGGCTGTTATTCGTCATTTTTTTATGCATTAATGTTTTTGGGCCCTATATATGTAATGCACCAAAATCTCTCTATTTATTATTATGAATTGCCATATGTTATGGTTCTCGTGTGTTCTCAACAAATAAGATAGCATTCAATAAATATATGTTTGAGCTAATTTTTGGAAAATACAAAAACCTAATGAAAGCGTTTGGGTGGAGTTACTGTAGGTACATCAGCCCCCCGCCTTTTGAGCGTCCCCACCAACTTTCAAAATTCCACAGTTACACCCTTGGGATGGGTTAAATGCAGAGATAAATATCTCCAATGTCAGAACAATTAGGTTGATTATCAATTATTATTTGTGACATTAGCAGCATATTGCTATTTAACTAATGCTATTTAACTCCTCAGTTCATTTCTGACATGCAATGAGAGATAATGACAGATTTTTCTATCTGGTATAAATAGTCCACCTAGCAAGTTTCATTTGTGAAATGGTTGTTATATATATTTTTAAACAGAAGATAGATTTATGCTGAGAAGATGGCTACCATGTTCCAGTAGGAGTCCTTTTCCCTTTCAAAGAAGCTAGCTAGTTGTACTTCTCTTCACTGAACTATTTTTCTCAGTTCCCAAGTACATTGTCGAAGCTGTATTTTCTTTTTTCAATTTAGCAAAGTAGTTTAGTCTACCGGTGTCTTATTATACACAGATACTTGTACTTCCACTCAAGTAAAGAAAGAGAACGCTTTTGATACCTCTGCCAATTGAATCTAAATAAAAATGTATTTTGAGTATTCACTGGTTTTTCACACACACACACCTTCAGTACATCTTTGCATAAGACTAGAAGTCATTTGTGAATCAGGACCCCTAAAAGGCTGTTAAAAGCTTATAGGAAGGAGCCTGGGTACATGATAAAAAATACAATTGCTGGGTAAAAAGCGAAAAAGAGGAAGAAATAAATTTGATATGGCACATTAGCTACATACAAATACAGCACATACATATACAACATCCACATGCCTAACATACAACAAACTAATAAAAAACAAAACACTTTCCAAGAGCAGTTACATTCAAGAGCAAAGTGTTTTAATGTACAGATGAATTTAAGAGTTATGTCATTAACATTTTTTTAAATGTGGGAATAGATTTCAACACTTCAGGATCAGTCTATATCTGTGCTCCCTGCAAGTGATACTCAGGCTTGTGCTTTTTAACCTCTAATAATTAACACTTATGAGATGTTCACACCTGGTATCATGAGTATGAGGCACATGACAGACTGAAATGAGCTCGGAGAACCTGGTTTTACTATTTTTAAAAGTTTGGCACATTGTGCATGCATGCTGATATATATTCAACTCAGTAAGTCGAAGAATTCAGAGAAGTCAGAGGGTTTTGCACAATATGAAGAGAGCAGGTAAGGTTAAGTAGTATAATAAACATAATAATAATAATAATAATAATAATAATAATAATAATAATAATAATAATAATAATAATAATAATACATTTTATTTAAAAAGGCGCCTTTCTGGACACTCAAGGTCACCGTACAAAAGCATAAAAACAGTGTCAGAAAAATAAATATACAAACATTTAAAAACATTTAAAAATACAGAGGCTGTGACAGTGAAATTGATATTTAAAGAGAATAAGCAATCTTGAACAGATGGGTTTTAAGTTGCATTTTAAAATGGAGAATTGAGTCCGTGTTTCTAAGTTGGGGTGGTAGAGAGTTCCAGAGGCGGGGTGCAGAGCAGCTGAATGCTCTGCTCCCCATGGTGGTGAGACGGGCGGAAGGGACAAACAGGTGCAAAGCAGATGGGGATCTAAGAGAAGTATCTTATTTATAAGAACAGACCAACAAATTTAGATAGTGTTGATATTAAGTGTTCAATATGATGTTTAAAACTGAGCGATTAATCTACTGTATCTTTACTGTCAACAACAATTTGCATTGTAATCGAGATTTCAGTTTCATTACAAACAAATGAGAACCCCAAAGAACTTATGTGGATCTAACTTGCCATAACCCTTCATAATTAACCTTTGAACGATTTCCATTGGTTTCTACATTATTCTTATTTGTGTGAAACACAATAATGTTGCAATTTTGCTGATGTTAAGTGATAATTTATTGACCTTGTAGCTGGGTACAAAAAAGATTCTGTAGACCAAGTGAGTTTTCATGTGAGAGAAACAGGTTAGCATCATCAGCAACCATGACCTGGAATTCTTTTAAAAGAATTTACAGTAATATTAAAAAGCAATGGCCCCAGAAATTAGCCCTGTGGGACTAGGAGAGGTTACCTTTTATGGTACCGACTGAATGCTTCAGCTTTACAGAGTATCAAAACATGCCTGGTCTTTCAGTGCAAAGTTTCAATGATTGGCTGTAATATTAACGTGATTGCGTCACTCTGGAAAAATACATACGTGGTTATGCCTACAAACCGGGTTCATATGTACCTGTGTTTTGAAGTGGTTGCCTGCCTTGTCGAACCATTTAAACATGCCACCGATGTAAAAAGTGTGGTTTTACTTTAGAAAGATAGATGCCAGTAATGTGCAACGCAATATGGGCCGGATCTATCAAAGGTTTGCGTGTATAAAAACGTGAGCTATTTCACTGCGCATGCTAAAAAATGTACAAACTGATCTATCAACAGCGTGCTAAAAGGATTTGGTCTTTAAA